GGGGGGGTGCTTTTCCCTTCCTTCTTTTCTCCTTTCTCCCACCCAGACTGGGTTTAGCAAGATCTTGACTGAAAAAAATTTTGGAAGGGAGATGTTGCTCAGGACAAAAACCAGTACAAATAAATAAATAACAATTTTGAGATTATCTGTTTCCATCAGTAAATTATAGATTGGTTTGTGAGTTTTGCTTTTGGTTCATAATATTCTCTGTGGTCACAGAAAATGCTGTGTGGAAAAACTCCTATGTAAACTAGACTAAATTCAAAGATAATTATTTCACAAAAGAAAACCATAAGAATTTATTTTATACCACCTGGATAAGGGAATAATTTTAAGAAAAATTTCCAGGTTTATAAAGAATTCAGGGGGTCAGGGCAATACCTCAGTGGCATAAACAGCTGCCTGGCAAACATAAAATCCTGTATTCAGTCTCCATTACAGATAAAAGGGGATGGGGTCGTATAAAGAATTCACATACATGCTTATAATACCAGCACTTGGGAGGCTGAGGCAGGATTGTTGCAAATTTGAGGCCAGCCTGAAGGGGCCAGTGAGATAGATCAGTGGTCTAAAGTGCCAGTTTGATCCCTGAGCTGCTTCCCAAAAAAGAATTTGTCGAGACCACCCTGAACTGCAGAATGAGTTCAAGGCCAGCCTGAACTGCATAGTGAGACTCTGTCTCAAAAAGACAAAAAATAAAATAATAAAAATTTGTTTCTTGCCATTTTATTTCAAGATTCAGAGGTCTTTATAGATATTTCAAGTATATTTGCAATGTTCCAGGAGTACTCTTTAATGCTTTTCTGGGTGTGCTTGAAATTGACAAATTAGTGTTTAGAAATCTAAAAAGTAATTTTATTTTTGTACAGGGGATTGAACTCAGGACTTTGTGCTTACCAGGTAGGCGCTTATGCCACTGAGCTATCTCCCCATCCTCTTTTTTTTTTTTTTAATAGGACACTATTAAGAATATTTTTATGAGTTAATATTACAAGTAGATTCTTTGGCTTATATATAGTTTCAGAAATGAAAGGTATTAGCTCACTCTTTATAGAAATAGCTAAAGGTTACCTCTAAGCCCTTAGTATTTTTTCTGTATCACATAATGCTATTGTAATAAAATATGCTCATTTCCACCAAAAATAAATAAATAAAATATGTTCAAAGCACTTTATTCACTTGTTTTTCAACCTACATTCCTTTCCCAAATTAACTTAATACATATAACCAAATTTTGGCTTCTAACTTACAATAAAACAAAGTTCTTATCATACTGTTCGAGTGCACGGGGATGTACTTAATGTTTACTGGTTTATTATAAAGTATATTTTAAAGGGTATACCTACTAGAGGAAGAGATACATGGTGCTAGGTCTGTCAGGGGCACCGAGTGCCAAGACTTGCATCCATGTGAGGTTTGGTGTCCATTTCCCAGCCTCAGCCCATGGATGTTTCTTGTTTACCTCCCTGGAAGCCTCCCTAAATTTTTTTTTTTTTTTTTTTTTTTTTTTTTTTTGCAGAACCGGGGATTGAACTCAGGTCCTTATGCTTGCCAGGGAAGCGCTTATTCCACTGAGCCATCTCCCCAGCCCGTCCCTAAATTTTTATAAAGGCTTCATTACATAGATGTGATTTTTATTAAGCCATTGGTCATTGATAATCAGCTCAACCTCAATGCCGTTGGCCTTCCTCGTGATGGGATAATAAGGTTATTAGTTCTAGTCCTCTGAACACATAGGTGACTTCTAACAATCAGCTCCCTATCCTGTGGTTAACACTGTCCAAAAATCATGTTAATGGTGTAAATTCAAGAGCTGTTGGAAGGACTGGCCAAATAGCTCAGCGGATTAAAGTGCCTACAAGCAGGTGCAGGTGCCAGGGGTTCGATCCCTGGATCTGCTGTGCCAGCCCCACCCCCGGAGCGCACTGAGATAGCAATTGAGACTGGGCATGGTGGCGCACGACTGTAATCCCAGCTCTTGGGAGGCTGCAAAGAGGCAGATCACTACAAGTCCAATATAGTAGTGAGACCCTGAACACCCTGTAGACCCTTCCCTAAAATACAAAAAAAAAAAAAAAAAGCTTTTGGCGGGGTTCATTGTAAACAACAAAAGACTTCACCTTTAATATTCTCAAGCTAATGGCCAAATTTTTAACCA